GTAAGCGTTAGATCAACTATCCCGACGGTTACATGATTATCCTGTTACACAAAGTGTGTTTTGAATTACAACGGGAACCTATGAACTGACTGAAGTGTTCAGTTCGTACAAGGTGAACTAAAACAAAATAAAAAATTACAACTCAAATGCGGACAGATTGAAAGCCGAGGCGATTGAAATCTTTCCGCAAGACAAATACGCCCCGTATAGTGCTGACGGGTCTGTGCGTAATGTCCCCAAAGATACAACGGCAATACACTCGGAAGCTGTAGCACACCAGACTTCAGAGTTCCAGCGAACTGATTCGAAGACGAGAACTGAGCACTATGATATGATGCGTGAGGCTTTGAGAGTATTCAGATTGCATGAAAATGTTGTGTACTTTCGTATCTCATTCAGTCTCTACACTGTCCTATTTATAGGACTTCCACCTAGGTGGGGGATGGCTCTTCATTTTGTAACCACTAAGCCATTAAAGGCCATTCATGGCAGTTTTGATGACTATTCAAAACTTGTAACCACCAAGCTATTAACAACCATTCATGGCTCCATTAACAACCATTCATGGCTTATAACCACCAAGCCATTAACATCCATTCATGACTTGGTTTTAATTGCAAAACGTTTCAGGTTTAACTCACCATTAATTCACCTCATAACTCTTGAAACTGTTATGTGGTTGAAAGGTCACACGTCCAGGTTCAATGTACCTGGAACGATGTCACACGGGTTGTGTCGAAACCCAAGTCCAAAACCAACTCGGTTTATATACCAACATATGGTAGATAACTTTGTTATTGTTGTGACCTCTCCAACTCTCTTTATCATAATAAAGAGAGTTAATCTCATTCAAGAGTTCTCTGTGGGATAAGACTTTTAACCATTCGAATCCCACAACCAACGTTCTGCGTGCCCATTTAAGGCTAACATTTATTTCTCACTCACCGAAATTCAGTATTGAGAAATCAAATATACTACGAGTTTCTACTCGGAACGTAGAATTTATTCTACACAATTTAATTCAATCCGAATTAAATATTTAGCCATCAACAAATCAGTCAAAATCAGGTCATACCCAATTTTATATTACTGATTTTCCAACATATCCAACGGTTATAAACCCCGATGAAATTGTTCCGTAACGGGACCGTAGCATCTCCCAATATTAAGTTGATTTAATGGTTAGACTAATCTAACATAATCCAAAATTACAAGGTCATTATCATAAACAATGACAGTGCATGACCTTTTAAATGTGAATGCAGAAAAAAAAAATGGGGTTGGAATTTATTGAATAGCATTAAAGAGTAGAAAAGCCCTCAAACAAGGACATATTCCAATGGCCTATTGTGCATTTTCTATCAAAAGATGCCTCTTCAAGATTCTACTCAACATATATAAAAAAAAGTCTTTGAGCCTATCATTATGGAAAACCAAAACTAACCCAAAACCGGGAGATAATATGGTTTCGTTCGAGAACCATTCCGTCGGAGTTTGTAACCGTTAGATCATCATGTAACCGTCGGGGATAATTGATCTAACGGGACCTTAACATTTCCCTCCAAAACCATATAATTGAAATTTAGACAGCAGATTGAATTTATTGGTATCACAAAAATATTTCTATTGGACTAAAAAATTTACATGTAATTTGAATAATCTGAACCTCAGAGGATCATGGGAGTTTTGCAGTCTCTACAGAGATTTTCTTTTTCCCCCAAATTTTAAGCTGCAAGTACAAAATTCAGTAAATGTATATATCTGTTATACCACAAGATGAAGCCTCAAAAATCATCCTCACTTACAATAATCACAGAACAAACTACAAAAGTTTATTCTCCTTTTGCTTCATGAAGCTCTAAATCAACTGTTCCTGAATCCCAGATTATCATCCCAACCAAACAAAAGTTACGAATGTATATCGCGAGATAACGCCGGCCCGACTAAGAGCATAAAGCCCGAAAGACCGTAAAATCGAACTGTTCCTTCTTATAGCTAGAAATTGTTCGATTATATTCGGTTTTAACAGCAACGGCGCCAACAACAGAACCTACAAAACCATCTATGCTGCTCAGGAGCTTTATGAGCCGATTTTGAAACTTGCGCTTCGAGTATTGGCTCTTGCGGGATATCCTTGACCCTCCTCAACGAGCCGGTCTTCGCGCCATCACTCACCAATCTAAGATCAAGGAAATGAAAAACTGATCAAAAAAACTAATTCACTAAATGAGCAAAAATCAAAATGTTAGTATCAACAAAGTTTTATGGTTGTGTGTACAATACATACTACATAACAGTACGCAAGTGCAAATAAGTTCCAAACAAACACGTTATGAACAATTATTAACTTCTACAATGAACCACCTTCATATACCCTCTAATTATATAAATTAAACTATTCTGACTCAGCTCAGCTCAACTCGATTAGGCTCGAAAAGAGAATTTTAATGTAATTTTCTATAGTTCGGCTAATTAAAGCTCAAACTCGGCTTTTTATTAGTGATAAACGAGCCAAGCTCGAGCTCGAGCACCCTAACCTCAAGTTCGGCTCGGGTCGTTTACAAGTTTAACCACAAGTCAACCAAAACAAAAACGAAAATAACTTACACCGGGAATGCAAATGAGCTTCCGCTATTCCCACTCTCTTCCGACAGCCGAGCATTGCAGGCCGGTGTCCGAGGCGTGCTCGGCGACTTAAGATTACTCCCGGTTGGCGGGCCCGCCCGAGAATCAGACCCGGAAAAACCCTTCTTTTCCTCAGTGGCACGCTTTCCCACGCTCCCGAGCGACTCGACCCTCGAGACCCCCTCCGAACCCAAGCTGCTTCCGCAATCCTCGTGAGCGTGACCTTCCATGACAGTCGGGAGCCCGCCACCGGACGATGTGGGCCCGCCGCCGGACCATTCGTCGAGCCTCCCAAGCTCTCCCGACTTGGCGTAAAGGATCGCGTGGTCGTGGGAAAAGCTGCTGTTGCCCATGTGGATGCTGAAAAGGGACTCGTTCGAGGCCGCGCTCCAGTCGGCCGGGTTCGCGGGCCGGGCCGAGAATATCGAGGCCGGGATGCGGTTCGGGTCATACCCGGCGGGCCCGTCCGGGCCCGACCAGTAGTCGGGGGGAGGGGAGGCGCTAACCATGCTCCACGGGCGGGCAGGGGTGGAGGACCCTTCGGGCGGGGATGTGGGCCCGGGCTCAGGCCCGGGCCTCGATTTTGGGCTGTCGTACGGGCCCGATGCGGAGGAGGAGGAGGATGATGAGGACAGGGAAGAGGCAGGGGAATGGCTCGGTTCGTGAACGACGGCTTGTCTACTCGGGCCGGGCTCCATATCTCGTCGGGCTATTGAAATGTTGCAGCTGAAGAAAAGCTAAAAATATTTAGGCCTTGTGAAATTATGCAAATGCACATATCAGATTATCATTTTGTTGGTAATCTGTATGAAAGTGTATCATTCATTGTAATCTACAGATTTGATAGTAGGATCACATAATATTAAGCAAAACATGAAGATGGCACAAAAGTTGTAAGAAGTTATATACAGATCAATGTGAGCTACTTAAACAAACAATTTGCAGATTATTAGAACATGGCAAAAGTACAAACTTGGGATATGATTCTTGATCTATAAGGAATTCATTCATATAACTTAGATTGGTAAAATTCTTGATTGATTTAAATAAAAACAAGGATATATATTGTTAGTAATTACAATTTACAAAGGCCATTTGCATGAAATAAACAAAGAGTAACAAAATTACATTTTGAGTCACCTAAATTTGTGAGGCAGAAAGAATCAAGAAATCCAGTAATTTGCAGATTATCATCACAAAGTTTAAATAAAATTATGCAACTTTGAGTGATATAATTAATTTGATGCAGGATTAGGCACTGGTAAAAAGGGGCTTTTTTTTTAATTTTTTATTTTATTTTATTTTATTTTTTTAATTTTCTGAGTGTTTACACCTGAAAAAAAAAATAAAAAAAAAATGGAGAAGGGTCAAAAGAAAAAAATGTGTTCACGAAAAGCAGGGCTAAGCAGCAATTTCGGGCATTACTGATTAGCTTTGAATTGTGACCAATGTATTTAGTTTGTGCTGCAATATCTTGTGACGTTTGGCGCCTAAAATTTAGGAAAGTCCTAATATTTTAATTTGTGATTTTTTTGTTCTACAATGTAATAAAAATTGACCAATGTTTTTTTTTTCTTTTTTT